CTAAATCTTCGAAAGCGCTCGTTGTCATGGTATTCAACTTGATGAAGTTACGGCTGTGGTGACCGGTGACCGCCATCGCCGTCCAATAACGAGCATGGCTTATAGCAGCATTGTAGAAGTTATTTATAGTGACAGACGCACACGCGAAGCATCTTCAGGGTTCTCGATTTTGCCCGATGGAGCGTGGGCCCGCATCATATTATGCCATTGACGTACCGGCAATCGGGACGTGTGCTGATCTATGCGTACTGCTCTGACACTGACGATCAGGAATCTGGCCAAGCTTTTCTGAGTGGCTGGCCGACTGTTTGCAAGACCAGTGTGCAGAGACCGCATGCAGATGTTGTTTCAACCTGTGGCAAGGAGAAGGCTACTGTGTGCTCGGCGCATGGATGTCTCCTTCGCATGACGATGCCTGTCTTCACTGGGCTGTTGGGAAACTTGCAGCCGCCTGCTCACAGGGCTATAGCATAGCATGCCCTGGGCCAACAAGCCCGTTTTTTTGGCAGCCCAGGACTACGTGGGGCCCAAGGCTTTCCGCCTGGGCAGCCTGGCAGCCTCCGTTGCTTGGGACTTGAGCCAATCGACGGTGTCTTACCGCGCCGGAAAGAGTCTATCCGTCTATCCGCCGGGTCAAGAACCAAGTTTTGCTGCGTTTGGAGCACAGAACGCCTGTGCGGACTACGCGACACACAGCCGTGTCAGTAAAACGGTTGGCGTGATCAGGAACCGAGAACAACCCGGCAGCGAAGGAGTCTTTTGGTGTTTGCTGTCAGTCTCGAAGTACGTAACTCAGGGAAGGGCCATTTGCCAACAAGCCGCAATCCTCACAACTAACACCACGAAGCCATCACCAACAACCACCATCGACCGGTATCAACCATCAACCACCAACCACTAACCACCAGCAAGTACCACCAACCACCCATCACAACCCATGACACCCGTCACCAACCACCACCAACCCCAACCGTCGCCGTCGCCGACGCCGTCGTCAATCTGGACGCGACGAGATCGGCAAATCGAGAAACACAGACATAACAGCAACTCATCAAAGTATCAGAACAGAATATGCCTTCTTCGCCGTGTTCATGACCTTCTCATGATCGTGACGGTCATGGCGAGACGTGATCGGCCCTAGAACGCAGATCTCCGGACCCTTGAGGCCCATTAGGCTCACCAGACCAATAGCCAACACTTTTGCCACCTCATCCAGACATTTTGCAGGAACCAAACCGAAACTCTTCAACCTGCGGCCACGGTTGTCAGATTGTGAGATGCGATCGAAGAAGCCCGAAGCCTTGCTGCAGCTAACATCAATGACTCGGCCGGAAGTGATCCAAGGCACCTTGCACCTGAGCAGCGGACTCCGGTTGCAGCTGGCGCATTTCATGGTCCGTTCCTGGGACCTATGGCAGGGTAGATGTGCGGGAAGGGAAGCCTAGGAGGTTTGGATTTCGATGTGTACCGCTTTCGAGCCAAGAAGCTGCACCAAAGGTGAGGACGACTTAGTGGCCGTTGGAAGCTGGGAGGCCAATGTCACGGGGCGATGGCCAGATTTCCCCGAGGCCTGAGCAAACCGTGGCCAGACACTTGTTGATCCACATGGTTTCCTCGCAGCTCCCGACAGTGCTGCTTGTCCCTCTTTCATGCCCAAGTCCTTGCTTTCTGGCTGCTTTGAGTGGGTTGAGAAGCGCTTGCCCGCAGGTGGCCGCGGAGTTGGAGCCTCTCGGCACGAAGGGAGTACAAGGCTGCGACGAACGGGAGCATCTGTTGCGGGCTTTGAGACCTATAAGTGAAGCGAATGGCACTCCTCGCCGGCGGTTTCAGCCCAGGAAGCAGATCCAGGGGCGGATTGAGGATCCAGGAAGCTCCTTGGACGAGATCTCAACCTCCAACTACAAGTCACGAAAGCTAGCCATCCGGGGCCAGCGATATACCCAAAGCATAGCTTCCCTCCAAGGGCAGGGCCAACGAATTGAAGTCAATTTTGCAAGGGTTTGAGCATCCGAGGGTTTGGGGTTTATGCACTAATCTGGACGTGCTGCTTGCCAGCTGGTTGGCAGAGTCTGGGTTCAAAAAAAGGGTTCTCTAAGGGGTCACTGGTTTAGGGTGGGCTTGCAAAAAATGCAACAACTCTTTCAAAGGCTTACTTGCTCTATCACTGTGGCCAAAGAGCAGTCGAGCAGATTTTGTGAAGAGACCGCTTGTTCGGGACGACTGCTTGATTTTGACGAACGTATTCAAAACACGCTTCGCGCCGGCTGTGTCCACTCTCAGCGTAGCCACGAGAAGCATCGAAACTGGCTGTTTATCTTGAAAAGGTATTGTGGGCGACTGGCAAGACAAATTGTGCAGCAAAACCCTGCCGACGTGTGTTCGGTGCTCTGAAGAAGAGGCTTGCTGCTTCGGATTGTGCATGACAACGTCCGCTTTAACCATGACTTAGAGCCCCGTACACCTCGCCTGAGTCGCTGCTGTCGCTTTCGTCCCAGTCTCCAACCCCCCCCGAACTGTGGCGCCCAGCCCAGGAGGGCCCATGCAAGAAGGGGTCCAAGGGGCCCATTGCACTTGTGCTTCGAGGCCTTGGATCCATGCCCCGAGTGTTTTACGCCTGCGGCAGCTTGCCTGGAAAGTCTTTCAGCGTGCCACGGTTACCATGACCTTCAGAGGGAGTATCTGAGAGCGAAGGTTTCCTTCGGAACTCGCTGGGTGAATCGTGTTGGACCTGCTTTGTTGAAGTCGGCTTTTCAAGCACTCGAGCTGGACGAGCAGCTTTCAAGGGCTTCTATTTTCAGGCATGGTGCAGTGACCTTGGGAGAAAATGCTGCACTTGGAACTCGATCCACACGAAAATCGCTGCTACCGTGTGTTCTTCTGAGCATGTGCTGTGCCCTTCCAGAGATATGGCAGGAACAGACCATGCGAAGCGCTGTGGTCTTTACCAGGCCGGCTGATTGCACGTGACGACCGGCTTTGCCATGTCCCTGACTTTCTGTCACTGACGCCGAAAAATTCTCACAATCTCCTGACAGACCCAGGTCCGATGTTGAGCAGGCGTAAGAAAGGACGGAGTGTAGCCTTAAGTGAAGTTAATTCGCAAAGTGCTCTCAGGGCTTTGGGCGCTTCGGCGGAGAAGCGGAAAACGTCGGTGTCGTGGTCGTCCCGCGCGAGGGCGAGGCAGTCCATGATGCAACATGAGGCACTGTAGGAGTTCAGCGGCAGACTTCGCCTGTTAAGACCGTCAGGCTTTGAGTCGTAGGAAAAGTGTTGAAACCGGTGGATCAGACGACTGAGACGTCTGCCTGCCAAGATGACTGAAACATCAGATCTAGCAAGCCGAGAATACCTACAGGAGCCAGAAGCATAGGGACGGCCGGAGTAAAGCTGCGCCAGGTGGCTCAACCGGAGAGCCCGGGCAAGTTCGTTTTCGTGGCCTCTGCAGCTCCCGGTGATGACGCATGGCTGTGCATCAGGGAGTGGAGCCTGGCCCTGCTGTGCGACCTGTTGTCAAGTTTCATACGCTTTGTAGCATCTTCTGTCTTCTGTTTAGGCCACATGTCGCAGCTTTGCAAACAGTGCCTGATGCCCCCCAATCTCGACCACTTCTGCCTACGGACTTGAAGATTTCGTGCCTGATGTTGAAAGCGGCGTGCTGGCTCGATACGATTGCTTAGCATCTGCTGCATCATCCACACCAAATCAAATCCAACAATTAGTCGAAGTCTTCAGCGAAGCACGGGTGCTCCACCCTTTAACTTCTCAACATAATGAACTTCTCTGGAAAGGCAGGTTGTGAGGGGGAGAGACGCAGGTAGGGGGCGGATGATTTCGGCGGGATGGGCTCCCAGGTGGCGAGCTTCAGCTCCACGAAAATCCGCCACGCGGTCGAAGGGAAAGGGGCTCGCAGTTCGGGACTTTCGTCAAATTCTAGTGTTTGGTTTGGGCATCCATAGTGTTGGTAACGGAGTCGCTGATGCAGGTTTTCAGCCCAGGTGTCAGGATACTCAAGATGTCTGGTTCCAGCCAGGTGAATCCTTCAAGACAGCCGGGCCAGAAGAGCACGAATACCTCTGCCATGCCATTTGTGAGGCGGGTCGATTCCACCCGTTCTAAGACATTCAGCCGTGTGGGCTTTCGGCAGTCCCTGTGTAGTGCACGCGGCTGCCGGCCTTGAGCTGTCACAGTGCCATGTAGAGCAATCACTTTGCCATTGCGTTCACGCGAAGGCTGTCGAAAGATCTGTGCCTGCCCGCGTAAGATGAATTTGCCAGAACCTGAAGTCCTGAAGTCGGCTTGCCATGGAATGCTTCCCCATGCTTCTGCACAGCGGCTGTTGTGGCATAGGCCCATCAAAGCCGCGTTGCTGCTGCTGAATTAAGCAGAGCCGGAGCCCGCGGGTAGTTTCGGTACAGGAAGCGGCCGACTTCATCCTGCGCCCCAGCGCCGAACAGCCGCTTGGGCGCATTCGAGCTGCGAGGGGGTTCGGATGTAGGAGTCCGCAAGGGCTGCAGGGCCAAACCAACCCGAAGCGACCCTTACACATGAAGTCTAAGCTCCTGCCAGTCATCTACACATCAGCCCAGGCGGGCAGCGTACAAAGAGGATTTCAAGAAGCTGGAACAACAGCTGATCGCTTCCGATGCTTAGTGTCTCAATGCCCTCCTGGCTTCGTCACGTGATCCCTTACGGGCCACGGGATGCCACGGGCTGTACTTGCAACCGTGGTCAGGCCTCTTCCTTGATCCATCCAGGTTAGGCGGAATGCTTGATTATTACCAAGAGGCGGGTTGCTTGGCTGCAGAGTTCGCATCCACGCTTGAAGTGTTCGCCGTGTGCAAGCGGCTTGAACACCTTTCGTCTGTGCGACCTGGCCAGTTTCACTCGTTGTTCCGAAGAAACGCGGGTTCGACGAGAAAAGGGTCCTTTAGCAGGCTCCAGCTTGTGCTTGAGCGCATGGAACAGGCAATGTCCCTGATAGGATTGTCGGGCCACCATGTCACCTGTTTCCTGCGGGCATCGATTGTTTCAGGCCTTCCAGTAAAGGATCGATATTCACGGGATCGGAGGAAAGAGCACGGCTACACGACGGTCGATGTAGACAATGCCGAATCTTTTTTACCATGAAGTAGCAAGTAGCAGTGTGCAATGCTAGCGTTTCCAGAAATGTGACCTCCTCATGCTAGCAATCTTGGTTTTCGGAACTCCAAAGCCTATGGCATGTGATGGCTTTTCCTGCATTCATGGAGCATGGATGATGCAGGCAGCCTGGACTTCGGAGGTTTTGTGATTGTTGTGACGCGTAGCCTCTGGCTGCAATTCGCCCCTGCCTTTCCTGGAGCTCTGAATGAGCAGCGGAGGGCAGTCCAGCAAGCCTGTTGGTGTAGCGCGTTCAATCGAGTTTTCAGCGTGACATACCAAGGTAGAAGCATAGGTGGTCAGTGGCCTTGACCTTTCGAGGTAAAGTCGAGGATATCCAAAAAGACGCACGGAACATGTCTCACGCTGACGTACCTTGCAGCACAACCGCAAATGGAAAGGAGGGAAAAACTTGCAGTAGATCGCGAACATGGAATGGCAACAAAGCAATCAAACGAAGTACAGACGGTATGAAAACTATGCGGCTGCCGACTCACTGTAGGCAGCTTACCATGCAGCTCTGGGAACTCCGCGGTGTTCGTTGGGTCTTGTTTGTATGTGAATGGCTAGCTACAATCAGTAGAGCTCGCTGTGTGAAGCTTAACGAGCCCTGGCTTTCCTGGAGAGCTCTCCTGGTTACCGCCTATGCGGCGACCAGGCCCTGAGCTCCAACGCCGTCTTGCAGCTTCGCGCTACTCCGAGGCCGGGGCCTCTGGGCAGGTAGGTGACATGCCGTGATGCGTGGAAATGCCAGAACAGTCTGTCTAGCAGGATGCCGTCCCGCTCGGGCACGCCAGCGTGCTCGGGCCTTACCCGTGGGAACGCACTTCGTAAGATGGCTATCATTCACATTCATGGGCCTGGAAGAGTGGGTGGACATTGAAGGGCGTCGACATGGAATTGGGGATCAAGCTCGGGGTACAGAGACTTTGCAAGTGGAAGAGCTTCCTCGAGGTGGGGTTCCTGGTTCTGTACAAAGACGCAGTCCTGGGGCTTTGCCTGCTGTCAGCGGCCCGGATCTGGGGCCTTAGACGCGGTAAGATCATTGGGGAATCTTCGTGATTGCAGATCGGTTCCATCCAGCATCGTAACATCGTCGTCTCGCATCGACTCTCTTTGCTGCACATCGGAGCGCGCGTGTGTGGGGCTTGAAAATTCAGATTGCAGGGAATTCATGGTGACATGGCGTGGTGGCTCACTAGTCGATGCTCGTAATGCTCGGGCATTGTGCTTGGGCATTTGTCTGTGAGAGTTGTTTCCATAGTACAGTTTGTTGTTGTTTTTTTTTTCATTGTGGTTGCGGTTGCGTTTATGGTTATGGTGGGGGCCATAAGGCCTTATGGTTTAGGGTTTAGGTCGTGGTTGTGGTTGTGGTTTCTTTCTGTGTGTGCGCCGCAGTACTTGTGTGCAAAGTTGTGAAGAGCTGCAGAGGGCCGTCTGCTGTGCGATATCTGGTTTCGTTATATACTAGTATTTTCGGCGTTCAAGGCAGAGGCACGGTCTTTACAAGGGTGGCACCAAGGCAAACGCCTGATGCCTTTATTCTAGGGCTTCAGTCGTTATGTAGCTGGACCCACAGCCTCCGCAACGGGACCTGATACACTCTACGCAACTAAGAAGATCACCTTTGCTGCGAATTGTCTGTATAGTGGACTCACCGTCAATTACCGTTTTCAGATGTTTTTTTTTTTTTTTTTTTTNNTTTTTTTTTTTTTTTTTCTGGGGTTCGTCTCTAGTCTCAAAGCTGCAAAAATCACGTTGCTTGAGGTCATGCCACGGACCGCGAGGCCCGCTTCCGAAGTATCTGGCAGTGTGTGTTTTGGTGTTCGCGGTCTGTTTGTGGTGTTTGTTCCGTGTGTATCAATGAGCAGCTTAGCTTCACGGTGCACAGAAACCGCTCCCGGCTCAGGAGACGCCCCCCGGCAAGGTCGCTTGAACAACCCAGCTCTCAAGCCATTTCTGCAGCATCCAAAGCGTGAGGCGAAGCCCTGCAAACCGGAGGCTCTTCTTGCGATGTCGGAGTCGGCGCCCCATCGGCTTTGGGTAAAGGCAGCGCTCTGAAACGGCTTGTTCTACCCCTCAGCTATGAACAACGGGCAGTTTTTATGGCCGAACAGACACATCGTCTATGTCCTGGCATGCCAACAATTCCAAGATTAGCCGCACCTCACAAAGAAGTCCTGAACGCTTGCGTGAAATATCTTCCTGACCTTCGTTTGAGAAGTGCAAGAACGCTGGACGTGCACACCGGGTCCCGCAGTCGACATTCTGACCTTGATTCGATTCAAGATTCAATTCTTGAAGAGACCTTTTCGCCGCTGAAGGCCAGAAGACATGGTGTCAACTCCAAGAGAGGCCAAGGTTCGGTTCGGTTGGGACTTTGGAGATTCCCCGGGCTGCTGTTGTCTAGTGACTAGTGCGCACGCGATGCAAGGCCGCTCTGGTGCTTGATAGCTCCTAAGTCCTAAGTTCCACCTACCATTTCAGCCAGGATGATTAGCATCATCTTCAAGCCTGGAAGCTGTCGTAGATGTACCACCACCACCACCACCACTGCTGTCATCCACTGCCTTTCCAGCTGCTTCAGTGACGACGATTGTTGCCATGCTGACTTTTGAATCATGGCCACAGCAACTGGAGAATCGTGTTCTCTTGTTCAGAAGTCTGGTTGTGAGCTTGCGCACGTCGAATTCAAAGGTACATTAGCCAAACATGAGACGAGCCAGACAGTTTCTCCCTGACTGCCATCCCGTAACTGTAATCCCTTCTCCCAGGCCTCCTCGGAAGCCTCGGAGTGGCTACCGAGGCCTTGCGCAAGATCTGTTGTAAGGCTGCAAGAAATGTACTGAGGCCCCGGCATCGTCGGAGGTTTTGGTTCTCATGCGGTAAACTCCGAGAAGTGTGGCCTCGAGCCTTCCAAGCGGAGGAGTTCTTTCGAGACCTCCGTAGGCTTCTTGGCCGGTGGCTCAGCTCGGCTTTTCTCTTGGTTCTTTTCCACGTGTGATTTTGTTTCGGTGTGTTATGTGCATGCCGTTGTCAAGATTTTCTCGGCAGTTGCCCTTCCGCATCACATGCGGAGCTGCGCAAGGGGACCTCCTGTCCACACCAAGAGCCTAACATCCCGAGATCGACTTGCTCATGTTGCGAGCCGGATTTGCCGAGACCCATTCGATGCAGTACTTCCTTCGATGCTCGGGCACCCGGCCGGTGAGATAGGTCAGACTGACACTTGAGGCCGTGTCCCTGAACCTCAGGGTCGTGGGGCTCGGGGTTTTGAGCTTCTAGGCCCGCAGATTATCAATTCGGGAAGGACGCGTAGCATATCCTCGGAGTTCGCAGGGCTTCATCGCTCCCCTGCTGATGATTATGGAGTCTTTGCAAAAACGTGCTGGCGCACATTCTTAGTTGCTTAGGTTCTTGCGCTCAGCCATGTTCCAGCTTCCGACTAAACAAACAGAGCGACCCACCAGTGGAGTGAGGATGTATTGCTGACAGTCGGCCCTTTACCGACGGGCAGCCGGCAGATTCCAGTCCTAACCACGAGGCCCTGAAAGAAGCGAAGGTGTAGATTCTACAACGAGCCGAGAGTCAAAAGGAAATGGGCCTCCTTGAACCTTGCAGCCCCACCCGCCGACACTAAACCTAAAGTCCTGACGCTAAGACGAGCTCCGAAGGCTGGCGGAGTGGCCTTCAGGATCCAACAACGGCGACAAGGCTCCAGGCAGCCCTGACCCTTGGAAGCATCTCTCGCTCTCGCTCTCGCTCTCGCTCTCGCTCTCGCTCTCTGTCTCTCTCTCTCGCTCTCCCTCCCTCCGTTCGACCCGTCGAGTGAACGAGTGAGAGAGAGAGAGAGAGAGAGATAGTGTGTGTGTGTGTAGATAGATATCGTTTGTAAAAGATACATCTGTTAATAGCGTGTCCAAATACGGACACTTGAACAACAAGATCAGCCTAAGCTAGCCTAAGGTTGACCTCAACCTGAACCTAAACCCACAAACATGGCTTCTGAATTTACTGCAATGTTGCCTTGCTACCCTGCCTAGCGACTCGCTCAGCAATGCAGGAGGCAAAACCTACGACCGTACATGGTAGCAGAACACCACGGACAAATGATGAACCTCCCTCACGGGACATAAGCGGGTTTGCGGAGAATTTGCTTCGGTGCAACGAGTGGCCGGAGGTGACTGGATCGAGACTGCAATTCGGCCGGGAGTTAGAGTGGGTCTTTAGCTTTTCAGGCTTCGCGAAAGAACGTGAACATTTCGCTCGGGGACATGGTAGCAACCATTGGCGACCATGATTGGTTCAGTTTCCCCATCATATGTACGTACATAATATGAACATGTGTGCGGGCACGTCCGTGTCATGGATATGTATAGCACCGCCTCTCGCGAGAGCTTTGCTTGACTCGCTCAACAGGGCCTCGGCAGTGGAGGCTCCAACTTAACGTCGCAGACTTAGATTTGCTCTAGATTTGTGGGCTTCGAGGGTAGTCTACAAGAGGGTGTGTATGCAATAAGCTGGCAGTTAGGTCTCTGTTTTGGCACAGAATGAAGTCTGGATGTTCGTTTCGACCGTTCCGGTCACAGGAGTCGAAATGCAGGGTCCGGAATCCACCATGCTCTCAGTGGCTCCTTGGAGACTTTGGGCCAGGCATCAGGAGGCACAAGGCATAAGGACAGTGGTTCCAGTGCCAAGGACTTTGCCTTGCTTCATTGCTAGGTAAGTGCGTAGCAAACGACGTCAATTCCTGCGAGGTCGGAAAAATCTGTCGATGAGGCAGGACCAGGAATGCAACCTTGCCCTTTCCTGTGATTGATACGTGTGTGCAAACATGAATACCTTCAGCCTTCGGTGCGGTTGCGGAAAAATGGCTGCATGTGCATGACCTTTGCTTTGCAGCCAGGTAGGCCTCGTTTGAGCGTTCAGCTGGGCATCAGGGCCAGTTTAAGAGGGGGAAGGGAGGCTGGTGTGATCCGTTCTTGCACTGCAGGCAGGGCGTGCTGTGGAGGATATGTGCCGCAAGCTGGGCGGGAATCCCAGACTTTGGGGGACCCGTGCTCTGGCTCGTTACCGTCTGTAGACAATAGCAGCCTAGGCGAGCCCGCAATTCGGAAGCCTGATTGACAGCTGTACAAGGGCTTTTGTGCAATGCAGGTGCCCAGCGGCTGTCGGTTGATCTCCTTCACAAGCTTGAGGCCTGCTTGCAGCTTGTCGACTCTGCGGACATCGACTGAACACATGTGAGCCATTGGGCCATGGTGCCCAGATGGCGGCAGTTTCGCAGTTTCGCGTGCCCTGTAAGCAACGCAGGAGATGGTCGTCAGCATTGGTGACCGTGAGTATGCCCATGCCAATAAGGCCAGCGGCCCTCGTTCGGGCCATTGCGATTCATGGGACCCTTATCTTGTTGATGCGCACCGCCGCTTCCAGGGCTTCTGCATTGCAAAGATGGGGTCCGTTTGCAATGCGTGGTTGGATGGAGCAAGGCTCGTTGTTGAGACTTTCTAGCACGAGGGTGTGTATGCAGAAGTGATCTGTTGTTGAAAGGCTGTGGGGAGAGGGCTTGCTAGGGCGGGGCCTGAAGGATGCGATCGACCATGCTAGATTTCGGCGAACTCAAGGGAATTTTAATGTTCTGTGATTCAACCAAGTGGATCGCAGATCTACATGGACTTGGTCATTGGGACGAAGAAGTGGCTGAACGACATGCCCTACATGGCCAGCGCCTGACCTGTTTGCGTGCTGCATTCCCCTACCACCAGGACTTAAAATCGGCCACAAGCCGAAAGCTTCGCTACTGGGAGACCCGGTGGCCTTGGACTTCGGGTGGTGCAGTATCCGATTTGGGTTTGTTGCCGAACCTGTAGCTTCGTGCAATCTGTGTTGCTGCTGCCGTCAATGCCATCCCACCGTCTTATTGAATCTAGCTGCTGTCATACTTGCAAAGAGCCCACTTTCGATTTGGCACATTCTTCAGGTGAACTTCTCCATGTCCCGCCAAGACACCGAGGCGTTTGGGGGGAACTGTTGTGTCGCTTACAGACTCAACTTTCGCATCAGATGCTCAAATGATGCACTTGTCACCACGCCGTTCGGGGAGGAAGCGGCAGGCGACACCATAGCGGGACTTGAATCTGACTGTTGACGAGTTCTGCTTTTTTCCCTGGGGTGCTGGAACGGAACCCTACAGGCCCTAGTCTGTGAGCGATATTCTCTGCACACTCTGCAAAATCTGAATGTGATTACCTGCCGTGTCCTCCGCAGTTGGCGAGCACTCATGTCGGAGCCCCCCTGAACTGACAAGCAAGGTGCACTGGACTCCGGAGTCAGGCCTTCCAGTTGGCGCGATGTTGGTGTTTGGGTTTTGGAGTTGGGGTGAGGAGGCATGTGGTGAACCCTGGGCACATGATCCCTTGCGACAACGGTGGACGCTTTGGTTGTTGCTTGTCCCTGTGTGCGAGATTTATTGTACAACCCAAGTCCCAGCATGCAAGGGTCGCATCCCGTTGACGAAGCCGGTTTGCGCAATCACGTGGTCCTGCTCCTGGTCTTCTATGTCTTCTAATGGTTTGCCTGAGAGCTGTCGGGCGCGTCGCTTCCCGTCTGGCCCAGGTCGTCCTGCGCCGCATCATGATGGTGTTGCAGGTGGGCCATAGCAGAGTGCCCAGCAACGACTGCTTGAAACAAAGACCCACAACACACACACACACACAAGACAGAAACGCAGCAGCCATTCTGGTGAGCAGAAACGTGGCCAGCTTCAAGTGCCTGAGAAATCCACTCCTCGTCACACACCCTCACTCCCTCCGGCATTTTATCCGGGACTTTCAGTGCACCATGGGCTCACTCCCGACAGACGTGTGTGCCCGTGGAGGCTCTGAGCCCCAACACCGATCCGTCCAAGAACTGCGGCTAGGGGCCATGAGGCTCGGCTCAGTTTGGAGTTGGACTCTCCGGGTGAATAAGGACTTTCGTGCAAAGGTTTTCCTCCCCAACCGCAACGGTCGGAAGATTGCAGAACGTCGAGCTAGGGAATGGTTAGTGCAGGGCACTCTGCCAACAGAGACTAGGTTCAGAAGGTGCAAAGGAATGGGCATCGAAAGGCCAATCTAGCAACTGCAGACGCTAAGATTGCAACCTTGTTGAAATAATTTTCGTTCATGGGCACATCTCGATCTCGTGACGCTCTTAGAGGCTCCAGAGGACTTGCTGCTGCTGCTGCTGCTACTACTACTACTACTACTACTACTACTACTATGACTACCACCACCACTACCACCACCACTACCACTACTACTACCACTACTGTTACGGCTGCTCGTGCTGCTGAAACTGCTGTTGCAACTGTCAGGGTGCCTGGCTCTCTCCAAAGTGAATGCGGCCGCAAGCTAACGAGACCCACCAAGGTCAAACCTCACCCCCCCTCGCACGCAGCGCTTTGTCCTAGCTAAGTGGGAGGCAGAAAAATCAGTTATTCGGCATTCAGGGTCTTTTCATTGCTAGAACGGGGGCCATTGTAAAAGGAGGTGACGCATCAACACAGGCCCTGGTTGTGCGCAAGGTCTGCCAGCTTTTGGTCTATGATATTGCCTTGGTTTGGGTTTCATGTGGTGTAAGGAAGAAGGTATCGTGGTCATTCTCAGTGCCCCCGTTCCATTGTTCTTGAATTCTTGTCCCCGCCATCATGGTGATCGTGTTCGCTTGAAATTGGTCAAGATTTTTTCGACAGTTGAGCTCGGGAGCACCATCATGCTCACTTAAATGCTTAGTTGCTTTCATGATGGCCTGTTGTGCGATGTCCGTCTTATTATCCAATTGCCAATGTTTCGATCGCCGGCTTCACTTTGCACCGCAACTTTGAATCACTTGTTAACGGAAGAAGAGCACTACACCTTGTCATTGGATTTTCAGCGCAGATATATCTATCTCAGAGTCATGAGAGTTTAGCTCAGTTTGCAATGCTTGAGGCCAGGGTGTAAGACACTTCGTTGACCCTGCGCCAAAGTATATTCCTTTCACCGTGTAAGCGATACACGTGAGACACACTACTTTGCATTATGCTCGAATGCCTGTACACGTGGTCATCCCCTGATTGATCGCTTGCACAAGGGACCGTCGCGTAGATGAAGTCAGTCTTGCGGGATGTTGAGGCCGTTCGAGTGGCATAAGACATAAGACCACCGCCACGTCCATCACCTTCGACGAGGAATAACTTTCAACAGTTGCTTCTCAACCAGATGGTGTGACTTGAGCGTAGAACTCCGAATCTTGGTATCAAAATTGCTTCAGTCAGTAGCAAGGAGCTTGTTTCTTTCCTGATTGATATCCCCGAACTGGCCAGGCCCACAGTAGCAGAGAGCTGCAGCAACGGATATCCAAGGCCACGAGATCCGGGAATGCTTGAATATCTTATTCTTATGGTTGGACTTTGGACCTGGGATATAGCCGGCTGTCGGACTTGTTTGGTAGCTCTTACAGCGCAGCTTGGGTGGCTGCAGGAGGTGTAGTGATGCTGAGCCTTCTCGGTGCTGGTGGTTTCCATCACCAGCACCACGGCTCAGCGTCGCTCCTCCTTGCCTGGAGGCAAGCGGTGTGGGTGCAGCTAGACTCGTTCGACAGCTTGCTTTCCCATCGTCAAACCTCCACCCTGCTTGACTAAATCCTGAGCCATTGCACGTCCCGCTGGTCCTTGACCAAGCCCACGCCACCGTCCCTCCGCCCCATTGATTCTGCACCAATGGAGGTTTGAAACCTTATGCATCCGCTTCAGCCTCGAGTGTGCTGAGTGTGGGACGTTGCACAGCGACCCCTGCTTGCGGGTATTGCCAGCTCTTCGTGGGAAGCTTGACTTGCCAGCATCGCTCCATGCCGCCCGCCGTGCGCCCCCGTCCTTAGCCCTCAGCCCCACTGTCCACGAAGCCTGACACTGCTCGAGATCACCACTTTCAGAAGGCAAGCGCGCGCATGCACATGTGCTTGGGCACATGCGCATTGGCGCGCATCCCTTCTGAAAGTGGTGATCTCGAGCAGTGTCAGGCTTCGTGGACAGTGGGGCTGAGGGCTGAGGACGGGGGCGCGCGTCGGGCGGCATGGAGGGATGCTGGCAAGTCAAGCTTCCCACGAAGAGCTGGCAATACCCGCAAGAAGGGGTCGCTATGCAACGTCCCACACTCAGCATGTGTGGGCATGGACTGGTGGGGCTGCAGCGGCTGTGATGGATTTGGGAGGGCAGGGTGTGGGCGGAGGGACGGTGGCGACAACACCCCGCACATATCGACATATCGAGGTTAGATTCGGTTACATCAGCTTGCATTATGGAAACTCTTGTGGCCTTGTAGCCTCAAGTGTCAGTGAATCTACCTGCTGAACCATCGTTGGGCGACGCAGCTCCTAGGCTGCAAGCGCTGGAACAATGCGAGCAACGAGTGCGCACTGTTGGTTGCAAAAGGATGTTGGCAGGAAGTGGGCGAGAGTTTAGGGTTTAGGGTTTACTGTGGCTGTCCTGGCGTGACGTTGCAAGCCAGCTGCAAAAGGGTTTACTGTGGGCTCTACGCTTTAATTCAGCTATATTCGCAACGCAGGATTCGCTTTGCTTCTTGCTTCTGGCCCGTTCTGGCGTCCTGTTTCTTGTTTCTGGTATCCTGGTTCCTGCTTTCGGCATCCTCTTTCTAAGTTTTGACGTCTTGTCTCCCGTTTCTGTTGTACTGTTTCTTGTTTGCGCTGTCTTGTTTCTTTCCTGTTTCTGAAAACCTGTTTCTTGTTTTTGGCGCCTTGCTTCTTGCTTCTGGGTTTTTGGTTTCTGGCATCATATTTCTTGCTTCTGGTGTCCAGTTTTCTGTTTCTTGCATTCAATTTTTGTTTCTGGCGACCTGCTTCCTGCTTCAGGTGCCGTGTTTCTTTTTCCTTGGTGAGTTGTCTCCTGTTTCTGGTGTCCTGTTTCCTGTTTCTGTTTCTTCTTCCTTGTTCCTATTTCTTGTTTCTGGTGTTCTGTTTGTTTTTGCTTCTGATGGCATCTTTCTTGTTTCTGTTTCTTGTTTCCGGTGTTCCGTTTCTTGTTCGTGAGGTTGTGGCGTGTTCTGTTTCTTGTTTCTGGTGTTGTTTTTGTAGTGTTTTGTTTCTTGTTTCTGGCTTGTTTCCGTGGTTCTGTTTCTGATGCCCTCTTCCTTGGATGGGCTCTGTCCGGGTCCTGGGTCGGATTCATTCATTCCTTCCTTCCTTCCTTCCTTCCTTCCTTGATGCATTCATTCATGCATTCATTCATACGTTCATTCATTCGTTTCTTCATTCATCCATCCATCCATCCATCCATGCATCCATTCATCCATGCATCCATTCATCCATGCATCCATTCATCCATTCATCCATTCATGCATCCATCCATGCATCCATCCATCCATCCATCCATCCATCCATCCATCCATCCATCCATCCATCCATCCATCCATCCATCCATCCATCCATCCATCCATCCATTATTCCATTCATCCATGCGATCATTCATTCATTCATTCATTCATTCATTCATTCATTCATTCACTCATTCACTCACTCCTTCATTCAGTCATTCGTTCATTCATTCGTTCGTTCAGTCACTCGTTCATTCATTCATGCATTCATGCATTCGTGTACTCATGAACTCAAGCATTCATGCATTCATGCATTGATACATGCATGCAAGAATTCATGCATGCATTCATGCATTCATTCATCCATTCATCCATTCATCCATTCACCCATCCATCCATCCATCCATCCATCCATCCATCCATCCATCCATCCATCCATCCATCCATCCATTCTTCCATTCATCCATGCGTTCATTCATTCATTCACTCACTCAGTCACTCACTGCGGTCAGATACAGGATGATGGGGCAGATGGCTAGGACGCGACTTTCGCGTCTGGATCTCCGTGAGTGCCAGAGGCTACAGTGCACCGGTGGCCTCGATGCCGGTCGTGGCTCGAGCAGCCTGACATACGGGCTTGCTGCTTGTGCAGCTGTGTTTCTTTTCACCACGTAGTGGACAAGTAGCATCGTGGACGGTTACCTTCAACCTAGGCTCGAGACTTGGCAGCGGTTCCTTTTCTCCTGATACAAATTCTTATGGCACGTTGAGGGTTTGAGTGTTTGTGGGCTCTTAAAAGATGTCGACCAGGAGGCTTAAGCTCTTCAGTAGGACTGTGCATGGGTGCCGAGTGCAGCAATCCGACATGTGGCCGGCCGGAGACGGGCCGATGCCCGGAGTCCAGCGTCCAAGCTCAGAGCTGCCACACTCGTCTTTCTCCTCAATGGAGCAGGGACTGCGCCGAAAGCCGGTGCGGAGCCTTGGGCATTGCAAGAAAAATCAGAACTTCAAAGTGCAATCGTCATGTGTGCTGGCATTCACCAAGTCCATTGCTTCAAAAACATAGTGCGGGCGGATGTTGAAGCTGGTTTGTTCAGTGCCGCATGCTGGGCATCCTGCCACGAGCTTCGCGGCGAAACTGCGAGCACAGTGCCCCGAACCTATTGCTATCTGGTGGCATGTGGTCAAGCCCCAACCTAGAGTGCTGAGCTGTTGGTCTTCACACGAAGGAGAGTATGAATTCGACACCGGCCTTTTCTTCGATGACCACATCTCGCCGCCTGACGAGCTTCTCCATCCGGCATTTGCCGCTTGTTTTCACTCCGGAGCAACTTGCATAGGCACTTTCATCTGTCGCGGCAGCACTTCTAAGCACTTCGACTATGTTCTCCTGAAGGATACCCAAGTCCGCGAGCCAAGTCCGTTTTTGGATCTGCAGGAGTGGCGAGAGCCTTCCGAAAGACCTAAGGAAACGATGCAAGGAAACTGGTATCGCAAAGAGCCGCGGCCTGTTTGGTTGGGCATCGGACCAAAATTCGTACCTTTACAGTATGCAATTAAGGCTCACAATTATCGTGCGCTGTGTTGGCGATTTCACGGGGTAAGATGTAGGGGTTGAGGTGCTTGGGATGTGGGGCTTCATACACGCGCGGAGCTCACGGGCTCCACTCCACGAGGGCTGTGTGCAAGTTCGCCTGGGCGATTGGAAGACTACAGTCACAAGGACTCGGCGGATCTGTAAGGTGGGCAGATCCGAGGGATGTTCCGCTTCATTGCAGGAGAATCCCACGCTCCACCCCACTCCTGTGAGTGTCCGGCCTGGTAGTGCAACCTCTCGTGCCAAGCAGTTGAGGGGCCCATGTCCAGTATAACGATCACGGGCCCGCGTCAGATCCGAGCAATTCTTTGCCGTACATGTCGGAGTCAAGCTACCCGTATGATTTTGTCAGGTTCAGTCCCGAGAAAGTAGACAGGCTGGGAGCTTGAGCCAACCAAGTCTAGACTCTAGACCGACCGCACTCACTTTACCGCACGAGTCGCTAAGGACGACAACCTGCACGTGGGCGAAGTGGTTGGGCAGCATATCGTGTGGCACATCAACTGGATCTTCGGCGGCAGCTTTTCACCGTAAGCCCGAAGCCTAAATTCAACACACAATCGGAGAAGTGCTCCAAGCCCCGCACGCCAGCCAGACCGCGACGCCAGCTTAGAGGCTTCACCCACCAAGTTGAGCGAGCATGAGCCGTGAGCCACGAAGCTGCGGCTGTCTCTCTACAGGCTCTTGCTTTCGGCCCGTAGCTGTTATTCTCGTTTTGGTCTTTGCTTGTCGTTGCCGTTACCGTCTGAGCTTCTTCGTTGTTGCTTGGATGTTTGTTCCTTTATCTTTCCTCGGGGCCTTCGCAGTGTCCACGAAGTGCCGAAGTGCATACCTTGCTGCCTGGAGTGCCAAGTTGAACCAGGGCGAGGCCAAGCCGCCGCATCCGCTGAAGCCCACTGAGTGCCCACTGAGTGAGAAGTCTCAGCCGCCGAGGAAGATGCCCTCGTATTTCACGGAGCTGGAGGTCGTATCGCCGCGGATGAAAGAAGCAAAAGTGCCAGGCAGGTCGAGCTTTGGGCTTGAGGTTGCGGCTACAGTCCTTCAGGTATTTTCGGCGCTTGGGATCAAGCATCAGCAGTGCAGGCTGTGGGGTATCCAGTATTTTTGGATCTGCGCACGGCTGCCAACGTCATCGAGCATACCTATGTCATCCTATGCCGCCACCACCACCACCACCACCGCCACTACCGCCACTACGGCCACTACCGCCATTGCCGCCATCACCGCCATTACCGCCACCACCAGTGCCCCCGCCGCGGGCGCCGCCGCCACTGCCACCACCCCCACTACAACACACCGCCAGTATGAGCTACCTTCGTGCAGCATGTATTTTCCGTACATGCTTGTTTTGTGTGTGGATGCGTTTGCTGCCAGGTTCCACTATGATTCAGATTCAGGTGAACAATTTCATCTCCCTCGGGGAGGCAGGCTGCAAACACAATTGAGGGGTTTGTGCTATCGAGATCATTTTCTTTTTCTTTTTTGCTCAGGTATTCATGCATGTGAGGATCCAGAACACCGGTCTGTCCTTGATGGACCACTTGATGCATAATTAGACAACGGCCTGCCTCGTCAGGTCCGAAATGGCCCGCAGACGGCGATCTTCTGGCAGGACGGCGATGTCTGGCTGAAGAAGTGAGATGCTGTTGAAGCCTTCCCGCTTGGAGTTGGTGTACTTGGGCCCTCATCCTTGCAGCTCCTGTCATTCTGATACATGGAATTTGGTCGAAGGTGTAAGCGCATGTAACAACCCGGACTGAGAGCATGGTCTTCGTTGCCAGACGGCTTCGAGCGACTTTCGCCAACTCCGCGCACGCATGAGCTGTTTCGAAACTGCCGCTACTGCAGTTTCAATACTTGCCTCGCTGTGTTCTAGTCAGTGTTTCTCATTCCCTGACCTCTGCTCACAAAGGTTTGCGAGACCGCTTTCCCCATCAAGTGACGGGCCTGTGCCAAGAAGCTTGAGACAAAAATGGCAGACGTGCGTTGCTGCAGTCGTCATGCCTTTGTCGAGTTGCAGCCAGTTCCACAGTTCCACAGACCTTTGGCAACGGAGTGGCTTAGATTTCAGCCCTTTTCCAAACTTGCGAGTAGCTGCATATTGAGGCCATTTGCGGCGAGGAGCTCTCCGTCTTTCGTTGCATGAGGATACAGAGAGTGAGGCCGTTTGTACAGCGACCGTGTAGTCATCATTGGGCTCGGCGAGAGAGAGAGAGAGAGAGAGAGAAAGATGCAGAGGTACAACGTATGTGGGATGTACATATGTACTGTATAGTATATACATATATCTGTTTTTGTGTATGTATGCATATGTGTATATCATCCGAATGCACATGCACATGTATATGTATATGCATATGCGTATATATATATACACACACACACACACACATATATATATATATATATATATATATGTGGAGAGAAATAGGGGACAGAGAGCGGGGGCCATTTTGGTGCAAGGTATTGAGTGCCTATCGTCGCAACGAGCGACACCCAGGGAAGCTCGTACCACTGCACCATCGCGCTAGTTTGGTGGACGGCGGCTAGCGCTTGAGTTCACGGCACCTCGTAACCGTTGCCATGGACAGCGAGTTGAGCAACACTCTTGCCAGGGTCACCGGTGCGGCAACGATGCGAGATTTGCGTGCTATGACTTCTTTGGACTGCGGAAATCTGAGACTCTCGTGTTAGTTGGCTCTAAGTTATGCATATAGCGTTTTTGTAGGGCGCCGCCGAGCGATGGCCACGGATTGTGAGCGGCCGCCTGACTGGGCACTCGCCTTACACAGGGCTCAAGCGTCCAGAGGGCAAATAGCACGTCGATGCAACGCATTCATGAACAGGCTGCCGCCGGTTGCTTGGACAACTTTCGCCAGTATCGAGACATCACCAACCGAGAGGCCGGTTGTGGCTTGCCGCTTGAACTCAGCAGTTGTCGCATGTGGTGAGCTATGTTCTGAGACACGTGCATGTCTAGTTGTATCTAGATTTCTGCAATGAAGGGATCTGAGATGATGTGTGGTGCCCTCACCTGGGTAGCTGGGTCAGGTGGAGCGGGTCCGGCGAAATCTGAACGGGCTGTCGGACGATGACAAAGCTTCACTCATCAGGCGCAGCAGGATGGCCGTAAGTTCGGGTGTTAAGGGCTACTTGAACCGAGTTGTTTAGTGCTGCACCAAGCTTTTGTGAGATGTTGCAATTGCTCAGCTTTTGTAGCGGTGCCGGGACTCCAGTACGAGACGGGCATATTGCGGCACAACTATGACTTTCAGCCCGAACAGCCGAAAGCAACAGCCAGCGCCCAAACGGAACATATCGGCACCCTTTCGACGAAGGCAAGTTTTTATTTTGGTTAAGTAATAAGTATTGTCATGAATCTATCCTAGCTACACTTCTCGCTCTAACCTCTTGCATTCAGTTCTTGCAAACCCCCGTCCTCACCTGGTGACCGTGCCCACCTTGCCAGGAAGCCAGAGGAACAGGTGAAAGCGATGGAAGAGGCTCCAAAAGCGCATTGTAACAAACTCCACCATGCGAGGGCAAATGACAACATTGTTGATCTTTTGACTGGGGCCCGATGCCGATGCCAGCCATGCCATAAATTAGCTCAGGATGTTGACCGCTTAGATGCAGATGTTTCAGTTCAAGAAAGTTCCGGAACATGGCCCATGGCACGTCGAGCCTCACACCTCGTTGATCCCCGGTCTGCCACATTCTCCGAACCGAAGCCACAAACCCCCAGATCCTCAAACGCCCTCTCGCTGCCATGATGCTGTGGCGGCTAGTGGGTCAGCAATGGACGAAGTGGGTCCGGATTATTCCAAGTCAGGCTGCTACGAGTGGTCAGCATCTCAGTCAGTTGGTCTGGGAGGGTCTGGGGCCCTCTTTACCTTTAGCCCGGAATGGAATCACTGAGTGCTACCCTGAAGGTTGAACCCTCCCGGAATTAAAGCCCGTGTCGATACGATTGTCTTCCTTGCTGCTTTGGGGCCCAACCAGCAATTTCATTCTCAGAGCTGCTGCAGCACTGCCGAATTGGGTCAGCACTCCCTGGCAGCGCCTTTGGTGCTTAGGCTTCTGCCGTTTGCAGACCTCCAGCCAGTCTTTGAGAAATTGGAGCTGGAGAGCCTTGGCGAACCTTTCATGTCATTTTCTTTCACGATCCGTGAAGAGACAGCATGGCATCCTCTCCAGTAGACCTTGAACTATCTCCGACAACCAAACTCGGAGTTTTGAGGCGAGGCTTGGAGAGCTCAGTTGTCGTGGTTGGCTGCGGCACGCGCGGGAGCTCAGAACTTGGACCGGATGTGGTTGGGGGCACAGTGAAAGAATCAAGAGTCTCGGCTTTGTGAGAGGTCGGACCTCTCCAAAGACCTCCATCTCGCACTGGGCTTCCATCAAGCCTGAATCCCAAAGAGCAGGTGAGTCACTGAAGTCATTGGGGTTGGGGTTCTGTCGGGGTTTGGGAGGAGAACGTGTGGAGAGAAGCAGAACAGTAGAGACTGAGAGTTGCAGACTGTCGATCAAACTTTCGGGTGGGCTGTGCTCTGTTGCCGGGGGAAACATGCAGTCTCCCTGCGCGGACTTTGAGGAGGAGGGTCTTTTCATACTAAGGTGCTGTCGATAGACAACGACGAGGCGGTCATCCGTCACATGAAGGCCGAGCACGAGAGCCTCAAGCTCCTGGAACCACTGAAAAGACCCATGCTTGTCAAAACATATACATCATGGAGCCCATGGCAGACAACCACAGAGTCACACACAGTCTTATTGAGCCCAAACTCTGTAACTATGCTGCACACGGAGGCTATCGCCATAGCGTGGGAAAGTCTGCCAGGGTTTCGTACTCCCTTTGGCTTGACAATGGCAGATGCAAAACCGGCAATGTCAGATGCCTGGTCAGGCTCAAAACGTCTTGCTGGAATCCGTTTGTGAGGTCTTGGCCACAGCAAACCTCTCAACCTGGGCGTCTTGAACGAAATCTTTGTTCATTCTGTGACAGCTCCAGATCAGCGCGGGATGTGTTACTGTGGCCGTTCATCAGTACTCTTCACTTGTACTTGTAGTACCTTCTCCGTGGAGACAGCATGGCAGACATCGCAGTCGCAGTGCCTACCTGGAACGCCCTATCTTCCAATGCCGATCTGTCTGCCGCCGCATGCCTATGCACGTCACACACCCGCGAGTGGAGGTCCGAGTCCAAACTCAGCAGTTGAAGATGTGCCATGCGCAGGCACGGCACCGCGACCTCCAGGGCCTCACGTTTGTTTTGGGGGACCTCACCGTTTCCAGCGAGGTGGTCTATTGGGTTGAGCTTGACCGAGGTCATCTGCTCATGTTAACACTGTTCGCATGATTCCGACGGAGGTAGTTTCCTGACTCGAAGCACGTGAGTCATTAGGGTGTTGTGGCGTGGGTGAATAAGCATGGCACTGAAAGCACAGTCTCACAATGGTGTTGGCGTAATGGGCTGGCAGAGATCACCGCAAAGGCTGTACACGGTACGTTCTCTTAACCTCAAGTGACTGCGACCTCGAGTGGAAGCCTGTGTTCCGGTATCCTTCAGCCTCAGCACGTGTGCCCTTCTTTCGAGACTGCGCACATGCTTGGTTTAGGGTGCCAGCCATCGGATTTTGCAATTAAGGTGGTAGTAGACGGGACTGCCGACCTCGTGGTGGACAAGAGCACGCTGGACTGCCACTTGAGCACATAACTAGTTGATCTAGCGGGGCAGGGACATGGCGAAAACAGAACCCGTGGCCACTCCATAAGGCCTTTCTGGAGGGGGGGCTGCAGGATTCATAGGGTTCATGGTGGGGCAATGGAGAATGCGTGAAAGACTCAGTTGGGCTTGGAGTTTGGCGTGCAATGCAGATGTTGACGCAGATTGCAGTGCTGGTGGGAGTCCGACATTCCCGTGTTTTTTTAGTACATCCTGTGATTCAGACCACCGGTGTTGTTTTGGCAGTCCCAACCCCTTGTGCCGAACACCGCGTTTGTCCATGCACTCTAGGTCTGCTTTGCAGCGATGCTGCCGCTGGGCTGATCTGTCACCGGGCCGAGCAATTCACTTCAAGAGTGATCAACCTCGCAGGCTGGCAGCCATTTCCACATGACAACGTGTTTTGGATGTTTGGTTTGTTGCTGCTGTGTGACTGAGCCCCAATCACGGTCTTCAAGCACAGAGTCGTCCAGAGTCTCTTCATCGGGATCCTCGACGCATCATCCGTCTAGTGCCCCTGCACACAGAGACTTGCACCTTTCAGGTCTAACCACTGTAGACTGTGGCTGTGGCGGCAGACTAAACATCAAAGCTCAAGCAGATTCGAGTTGCATGAGCATCTTGACCCTAAGGTTGCGTCTACCGTATGCTGCGCACAGGAGGCTTTTATGTCGTCATCTCCTTCCATGACACGGAGCCGTGACTCGAATCAGAGCTGGTATATAAGCCCCCCGCAGATAACTGCAGCAACAGCCAGCAGGTAACGCAAGTACCCCAGACACGGACATCTCTATGCTGGGGACGTGCGAACATTAAGTGTCCGGGCTTCCCAGTTTCAAAGCCCGATCGTTGATTATAGTAGCGGCACGGAAGAAAGCTTGAGGCTCTCGACCCAGTTCCGAATCATTAGCGGATCAGCCTTTGGACAAGTCTTGATCAGCATGGGGCTGTTAGGGTTGAGCGTGATTGAGCGTGCGGGGGGACGAGGGCTCAGGGAATCAAGAGAATCTTTTGTTGTAGATGACATGCCGAACTCACCAATCCAGAGACTCGGCCTAATTCTTTCAGCCCGCAGTCAAGTGCACCCTCATTCCCCTCCTGCTCGCTATCGTTATTGTTGGTAGAGACCCTGGGTGATGCAGAATGCCGTGAACGGCGGATTTGGCCCTCTGCAGCTGTAAGGACTTCTTGGTGTCCCTGCTGTCCATGGCCTTTGACTTGGTAGGCCTCGTCGATCTCCATCGACGAGTGGGACCCTGGGACCGCAGCTTCAAGAGCTTCGACGTCCATCTTGGAGTCCTCAGCTGCGAAGCCCCGCAGGACCCCCGGTTCGTGCAGTAACCCTGCGCAAGAAAGCGATACAGGGCGCGGATGAGGCCCAAGTGCACGCTTGTAGCTGAGAACTCTGCTTAAGCACGACGAGGAAGAATCAGGAGGAGCGAGCGAGCGACAAAACGGGCGTTGGGAGAGAGAGAGAGAGAGAGTAACAGTAACATCCTAACCCTGGCGAAAGAAAGAAACTAAAACCCAGATGTAATGACCAAGCACCCCGTTGGACACACCCCAGCAGCAAATGGTCCGGGACGAGCAGTGCTGCCCTCCAGTTGGGGCTCCGACATTTCCGAGCAGGTCTTGGCCCATGACCCCCGCACGCTTCGCAAAGCAAGCAAGCAAGCAAGCAAGACAGAGTAAAGGCCAAGTAGGAGGGTGGAGTGCGTGCTGTGCTCCGCTTCAATTTCTCTTGTCTGTGCTTCACTTGGCTGTACAGCAGAAGACCGCAAAACATACTATGCTGCATGTATCTAGAGGGATGCGATGGAAGCGTTTACATCATCTGCTAAACTCCATAAAGCAGTCGAGATACCAAGCAGTCGTGCAGGCCTCGCCTTGCACAGCCGTGCAGCAGCTGCGAGAGCAGCTGCAGGCTTTTGAGGTGTATGGGACGGAGCGACCAAGGTTCAGGGCTGGGGTTCTAGGAGTTTGTCTCCGGCACGGCGGGTGTTCACAGCAGTTCTGCGCCGGCGCTCAAGCCTTTTGGTCCAAAGGCCCGTGGTCAAGTTGTTTCATCCTGCTACATCCCTATCGGCCGAGTTCACCCGGTTGTCGTTCTTCAGTGCTTGTGATCCATGGGAGGCCGCGCGGTTGGAAGCCGCTCCGCTCCTCACATTGGAGCGGAAGCAGGCACTGGAGGCTCAAAGACTGGGGACGCGAAGTCTCACCAACCGGGCAAGTTGCTCTGAGTTCTGAGGCTGGCCCTCGTGCCAGATCTCGGTCACCTGCAGAGACGTCGACACCTGTCCGAACGCACCTCTAACGGTTTGCCCAAATCTCCGCAGCACGAATTCCTAGCCCCCGACGCCCTTGCAACTCGCAGCCAACCCCTGTGAACACTAAATGCGAATTCACGGATCACGAAATGTACCTTGGCATGACAGGCCGCATGGCCACGTGACGAGACAGATGCAAGGACCGTCCGAAGCTCGTACAGTAAAGATTTGTCGCCTCGTGCTTTCCGCGGTTTCCACGAAGCACTGAAAACAGGTGCGTGCTGGATCTCGAAGCCTCACAAGTGCAAGCCAAGCACAGCTTGAGGATTCCTCTGTCAGTTGACGAGGCCAGCAACGAACACTGGGAAGCGGGTTTCATTGTCGCGGATTGTTCGAGAGCGTTCACTAAGTGGGCTGTTCGACCCCGGCGTGTGCAACAGCTATTTCAAGTCATTGCCTCAAAGCTTCAATGCTTGCATTGGGAGGTCCGACATGCGAGCGTCTAAACTGCCAGTGAGTCGTCACTGTTTAAGCTGAAATCTTCGGTTGATGGACAGTCCAGGCCTACAGCCTCCTCTTCAAGGATGCAGATCCTCGGTTGCAGGGATTGCGCTGTCGCATGGAAGCAGCGCATCAGACTCGAACTTCCCAATTACGAAGTAAAGAAAGAGCTTCTTTTTCACACCGATGCTGGCTGGCTCGCCTTTTCCAGCCGGTGCAGCTTTACGAAAGCAGCCCGTTTCGTTTGAGGCACAGGGGGAATGAAGTTTGATTCGGAATCGCTTGGATCGGCATTGCCTAGGAGAAGCGGGAGTATGCCAAGGCCGACTTCCTAAGTGTTCCCGGCTAGCAAGAAGTGTTTGGACAGCTACGGCATTTTGCTGCTTCTGATCAATCCGCAACTCAGCGGTCTTGACACGGCAAGCTCGGACTTGACACGACAATGTCAGGCTTGTAACCTGCATATCAGCAGTCACCCGGCCCAGGACTTGTCGGATTTCCGGACGACGTCTCAAGCTGATGCACCCGTAGGACTGGAAGAAGCTGTCGAGTTTCTCCAGAAAATGCAGTGAGCCGCTCCCACAAGTCTTTGATGTGACTGGAAGTCTGGACGGCCGAAACCCGCGAAAGACTCAAAAGACACTGTCGTATCCACGAATGTCGACCGCCTCGTCTGCTTTGCTGACACTTGTCAGTTTGTTCTACGCCACGCTTCAGCTACCGCTCTCTGTTCCCACACTAAAAGTTCAAGGCTCAGAACCTGCCACCCGACAGGCTGTGGCGGCCACGCTCCAGCTCGTGGAGAAGCTTGAGACACTGCTCCGCAAGGCCATGCGCGGCCTCAATTTGCTTGGGGCTGTCTGGGCTGTCTCTGAACAGAATCGCCGGCAACTTCTTTCTGGATGTGCTGTCCATTTCAGGAGTCGCAGACGGCTGAGAAGGGTGCCAGGCCCGGTGGAGATGTTTTTTTTTTGCGGGGCTCTTTAAGCTACCTCTTCAGTTGCATGAAGCCCGGCCCTACATTTTTCGAGCAGCATGGAAGTATCTCCCCCGCCCAGCAAGACCCTAAGCAGACTGTCGTGTCAGGGGCTCTGGCGTCAACATTCCTGTGGGTACCAAGCCAGCGGGGTGCCCATGCTGCGGGGTGTTCATTGCAGTGCTGCAGGCACCTTGCTTGGAGGTTGCTTGGTGACATATCGCCGTAGCTGTTGGCACGGAGATCCGTGCATTCTGAAGCCAACCGTGTATGTGCGTTGTGTGGATTTGTTCTCGCATTCTTGAGACCATGACATTCGGGCGTTGAGTTGGAATTCAGCACAACAAAAGTGCGACTGTGTGCAGTGGGCGAGTTCTGCGCGTGCTCCAGTTTCTGCTGGAATTGCCTGTGTCCATCGGTAAGGTGCAGACCTTGCTCCAAACCCTCGTGTCGGGGCCTTTGAGCTTCCTCTGTGTAGGCCTCCGTTTGAGTGCCTGGACGGAACACGAGCAGAAGAATTAGTTTGTCCCGGGACTGGGAAGTTGATTCATGCGGGGGTCATGGATGACAGTGACGAGTTTTCGGTCGATTCGTGCTGTGTGTTTGCCATATGTAGAGTCTTGGCTCCACTCTTGAGTCAGGATCAGCATTGAATGAATACCTAGTTAGGCTTACTTTACAAACTAAGAGAGTGACTACGGCGCAAAGCCCTGCATGCTGAAGGCGCGAGTGGGCGGCGGAAGGGCTACAGGAGTCACCTGTAAGCCACGGCTTGAAAGCCATCACGTCCTCTTTCGAATGGAGCTCAAATGCCACAGCAAGCCGGGTCGGAATCAATCAGGGTTTTGACTGATGGAAGTGTCCAGGCAAGTTCTCGAGCCAGCTGAAGCTCAGATTGGGAACCACGCTGCCGCAGGAGCGAAAGGCGTGCTTCGACAAGCTGCTAGGACCGTTCCCCCCGGGGGATGAGATATCCCGTCAATGCCCCACCCACCGCGCGCATCCTTCTCAACCTGCTTATTCTGATTTGGAGATGTTGCCGATCTTCCTTTTTGAATTGTGCAGGGCTTCGAGGTTTGGACCAAATGGCAGAGGGTAGCGCAGCTGAGTTTGTCTCGAGAGCTATGTCTGGCATTAGGAAGACGGTGGCAAAGCGACACAAGCAGAATCATGAATGTATGCCAGTAACGGGTAGGGGGCCAAACAAGACCGTGCCAGTCAGGTTCTCCAACAAGGAAAGATCGCATGCCAATCTGTCAAGCAATGAGGTGGTGATTGCCAGCCTCTTTAGCCGGCCGGCATGATGCAAGCGATAGCAGGAGCTCTCGACAGCCACCTGACAAAGGTTCGTTCTGGGATGCAGGGTTCGCTGAAGTTTCCGTGTGCGAAGAACTGCCTCCACTGTTCAGCGGCTTGTGGCTTTTCCTGACGGGTGATCGAGAAGCTTGCAAGCCCCTTCCAAGCTCTCGTTGCTTGGCTTCTGACAAGGCGGGTCGCGTGCTGGTCCCGGCATGCTCCCTAGGCCGCGGGGTTGAAGTGGGACAACTCCAGCCTGCCTGAACCATGATGCCTGCTGCAGATGAAGTGTTTTGCTTTTGTGTGCTTGTTCCTCGCGCTTAGCATCGCAATTAAACCCCGTTTCAGCATTCCCACTGGTCTGATGCAACTTCTGCAGGTCGCCTGGCCTTCGAGGCGCCCAGCGGGTCGCGGTTCGCTTTTTGGCATCCAGCTGTCTCCGGGGACTTGGGTTCCTTCGTTCCTTCCCCGTGCCTCTGGGAATTTCAACCGGGCGCGGTGAATTTGTCTTGAGCTGCAGCGAAACTTGAGCTTGGCCTTGTGAACCGGATTGCTACAGCAGAAAGGACAGAGAGCCGTCCTGAGTCAGAGGTCTCGTGCAGGGGGCACAGTGTGGAGGCTTGCGAGAGCACGGGAACCCAGCAAAAAATGAGGTGCAAGGTTAGCGTTTATCGATTTGTTTGTAGCGGTGTAGCTAAGTTTTGATTGTGGAGAGGGGCGACGGTCGAAGTGCTTAAGACTTTGCGACAACTCAAGCAGGAGAGATAATTAAGGGCAGGTGTTTCAATTTCAGGGTCAACCGGGCATAGCTTTTTTTCTGGAGCTTCGGAGTGGTCACGGCTGTATTGTCGAAGCTCCCAGTTCGGCGAAGGCTTAGCAGTCCAAACTTGCTTTCGTTCCATCGCTCTTCTCTTTCGGTCTTAGGCCGGCTCTTGCAGTGGTTCGGCATGGAGCTCCTACGGCAAAACGGTCAGGCAGAGGCCAACTCATGTGCCATTGTGTGTCGGGCGAAATTCCGAGTTCGCTGCATCACAAGGGCAGAGCCTGGTCCTGGATTCCTGGCGGATTCTTACTACGTCAGTGACCAGAGGAATCGGGAGACGCGGAAGTCCTTGTAGCAGTTTCGGTAGTCCCATTTCTCGCATGTCATTTCATTGTAGATACACGCACATAGCGACATCGCTGTGTCTTGCGTCGCAGCTGACTGGTGACTGGGTCTGAGTGAGAGGGAGAGAGAGGGAGACAAGAAAGAGAGGGAAACGCGGGCCGTCGTCTTCAAAGGTCTCCATGTCGTTTCGTGCAGTGTGTTTGCACTGAGCCCATGGCCCATGGTGGGAAGCCTAGAACGTCACAAGGTCGTTCTGGCGCTGCGCGTATCACAGACATGTGTAGTTGGACACACCGCCACCGTTTCGAGCAAGTCTTTGCACGTAATTAGCAAGAACTCACCCAAACCTCGCGCGTCGTCGTTGATGTCATGAGCTCCTTTGTTTGAACTGCCGACTTCCCAGAGGCCAACATGCCCCCAAAGACCTCTTACTAGTGAGCCCGGTGAACACTAAGTCGCCTGGACCGCTAGGACCAAGACCTGGTCACGATCCCACAATATCCCACACCAATCGGAAGCCCTCCGCAGGTGCTTCGACCACAGCCGTTCGCGCTCAACACGTGCAACCGGACAGGTGCCCAGAAGCTGTCTCCCGGGCTGGAACAAAACCCGGTACTGCCTTGTTGAGGTTCGCATAGGACTTCAGGCCTTGATGAAGCTTTGCAGCAATGCGTGAACTTCTGGCTGTTCGAAAAAAGCCGCACCACCAGCCTTTCACTCTCTCACTCATGCGCTCTTTTCGTCGCTCTCCTTGGGATGGTTTTGTCGCTGGGATATTGTCTTTTTCATGGTGATATTCTTGTTTGCTCGGGCGCCCAATGCGATGTACTTCATATGAAACGGTCTCATCAGGTATGTCTGTCAGGTAACGCATGATATTCCGACTGTTGAGCGGGAGCACGTACTGAAGCAGCGACGCCTTGTCAATCGGAGTGCAGTAACCCTTACATCCGCGCAAAGACACAACTGACTCCTTGAGTTTGCGACCTTCGGATGACTGTGCACTGTCACAGGGTCTCGGCTTCTTGCATGCGCCGAGGCTGAAGTTTTCCGACAATCACAGAGTAACAGCCATGCCGGATGTGACGATCGAGGCGAGACGGGAGACGCTTGAGGGGAGTGTTCAAGATCTGGCAGGCTTGGTATTCTTGACTGTATTTGCTGGCATGCCTCCGTAAGTTCACAGGCACCGTTGTTTTGGGGCACACTTGCTGGTGTCCACAGTGTGACAGCAGCGCAACATCTGGCCCGGCCCCAGGAAGGGCGACTACCTCGACAGCATTTTGGCGAGTTCATCACTCTCTACGACAGGTCGACAACGAGGGCCCATGAGTTGTTGCCGGCTGCCGACGCCCACGAGCAGGCGAGCGCAAAGAGATCAATTTCGAACCTATGCCAGGTCGGATGCCAAAGAAAGCAGGGAGCCCTGGTTCATCCAGTCTGTGCGTGCACCCTCACAAGCGGTCATCCATCGGTGTGTGGGGGGGGGTGGGCGGGGGGAGGGAAACGGCCATTGCAGCAGATGCATGCAACGCTAGCATGTGCCAGTGACTCCATCCTCCTGCTCGTCCCGGAAGCTCTATTTGCTGAGGCTTCGACTGCCTCCTGACCTCTTATGCGCTGGACCTGTCTCCAAACGTGTTCCGTGCATGCCCTAGGTTGAAGCTGCACCCCAGACTGATGCATGTTGCATCGGCCCGGGCACATGGGAATTCTGTACTACTTGTAGCCACGAGCCACGACCTTTTTCCGTGTGATCGCCAGGTTTTGTGCGCACAGCAGCTCATGTGGTCAGACCTGGTGGCGTGCACCGTGCTCAGACTTTGAAAGCAACTCTGCCACTGTGCAAGGCAGCATCGTCATCTGGCTCAAAGGCGTTTTCGTCGCTCTCCAGTCTGAGGTGTCCGCGCACATGGCGAGAGCGGGGCTCCTGGTGAAGCTTCTCGGCGACGTGCTGGGCAATGCTTTAACCGGCCACTACGAAAAAGGACAGCCCACCAGCGAGGCACGAACCGCAGAGCGGAAGAAGAATTGTTTGGACTGCATCGCAAAACTGCTTGAAGCAGTGGTGGGCCCTGGTGACCTGCTGTCGTCGGACGTGAGAGCCGAGTTTGCTGCCGAAGCCTATGCAGCCTGGGGCTCTTGCAAGGCATGCATCGCCGCTAAGCAGGCAAAGTTGCCACAGAAGGGCAGCGACTTTGCGAAGTACAACGAGAACGAGATCGAGCACGACTTCACGACCTCGGGCCCTTTCCGAGCCTTCGCACATGCAATCGTCAATCGTCAGCAGAAGCTTGATGAGGGTTTCTTTCAGGCTTTCGTGGAGCGGCTAAAGCAATTTGTGGGTGACCCGAAGCTGGGAGATGACGACTTCCAGGCCATGGCCATTGAGCTCAACACCATCGCAGCCCTGTGTGCCGGAGTTCGCGCTTTCTGCGCCGCCACCGGCTACGAGGCACCCCCGCTTCCGGCGAAGCCAAACCCTTGCAAGCCTGGCCGCTTCCTGCGGGTCTCGGACTACTCGACAGGCCCCTTGCAAACCAACAGGGCCATCGCTTGGGTGCCGACCCTTCCGGCATCGCAGCTTCGCAAGGATGTGCCCCAGCGCTTCGGCATCGACGCATCCATGTGGGCTTTTGCTGGGGCCAACCCGCACGGCCCGACCTCCAAAGCCAGTGCGGCACCCCTAACATGTTGGGAGTTCCTCAAGTTCATGGATGTAATGTATGTGCCCTTCCAGGATGCCCCGCGATTCCTGAAGGTACCCGGCAAGGATCGCACTCTGAATCGCGGCCAGTTGGAGGTTGCAGCTGCTGACTACACCTCTGGCAAGGCCTGCAACTTCTGATCCAAAGCTCACGCCAGCATGGCTGATGTATCTGAAACTGCACTGCTGGGTGGCCATCACCCGCTGCACAACGAAATTTCGGCCTTGGCCACGGCGGTCGCATCCCCAGAGGACATGGCGAGGATTCGTACAGCACGGGAGGCGCTGCTGGCTGCGAGCAACGAGCATGCTCTCCTTGACACAGCCGGCATCATTGCGTTCTTTGCGACGATTACGATCGTCGTGGACTTCGCAGGGCACTTCTCGCCCCATCTGGTGAACGTGCTCAACAAAATGGCAAAGGTGATCTCTAGCGCACGTGTCGCACGCATGACAGTCAGGCGGCTGCTGTGCTGTGGCAGCACGTAGCTGGTCTAGCACATCACCAGCCTCTTGCTAGATGCGAATTCGACAGCATGCCATGTATCGCGAACATGAGAGGATCCTTGCCTCAGACCCACGAGTGATGTGGTACGCTTTGCTTTTTAGCAGCGAACTACTGACAGACAGGGTCTTCTGGACTTGAACCGCTAGAGTGAAGCCGCGAAGATTCACAGCATTCCGGTAATGTTACAGTCTGTTAGTGCACCAAGTGTCAGGTTGTGTGAGTGGTTTTCATCGCTGTTGAACTTTCATGGTAGCTGTTGCCCGTGTCAGCTGGAGAACCAACTCCACTGCCAACCTCAGCAGTAGAATGAGACGCCTGTGTCTGTGGAAGGGCTTGCCCCCGATACGAGGTGGGCAGTCCATACATGGAAGCCAGGCTGCATGTAAGCTCAGGGTCACTTTGAGTGCACTCTGGCTCTCCGAGCAGTTTTTGTGCCTGCACGCGGCCAAGGCTTGCCCCCGAAAGGAGGTGGGCATGTCTACCGTCGTGGAAGGCTCGAGCATTATTCTTCCAAGGAGTTGCGACGACAGTTGTTGGCGTGGCAGTGGCACAACAAAAGGACATGAATATCAATGCTTGTGCCGAAGAACTCCTTCGCAGCGCGTGCTCGCTGTACAGATGATGCGTTATGAAGGTCACAGTCGGAGGGCAAAGAGTGCAGGCAGAAAATTTGCGTCGGACCGCCAATTGTTGCATGTTGGCCTGTGCTGTACGTATCCTCGTTGATCATTCTTGTGCCTTGGGAAGCCATCGTGAGACCGAGCAGAGCGAAAAGCCCTCAGGTGGGCGAATTTTGGCCCTTTGGCTTATGATACCGACCACGACGAGGTGTGGAACTGGGTTCACGCTGCTTAGCAGGACCTGCAGCCTACAGACCAGAAGAGTTGAACACCATCGTTTTCCGCATAGGCTTCTGGAAGCTCAGAAGAGGGGCTAGCAGTGAACCGTTCAGAGATGTGCACCCAGCGCAAAGCTCATTCCTCATGCGACTCACGCATTTGGTCGCTTGATGGTACCGTTGGATGTTGCAGGCAAGTGCCTGAGACTTGCCTGTTCTGCCTGGGCTGGACCGCAGCCAGTTCTCAAGTCAGGCACTATGTACAACTTCTTGCAGCTTGCCGATGCCTCACAACAGGAGCAGCTAGAAGTCAGTGTCTTGCCTCGGCACTTCAGAGAGGTGGCAATTTGACCTCCTTTTGTGGCTGCAGCGCCTGTAGTAACACATGCACAAGCAACGCCCGTGATATAGCTGTTACCTGCAGCAGGATAGAGACGTTGGATCAGAAGCCGCTTTGCAGAGCTGTTGAGCCATGCCGCGAGCTCCCGACTACTATGCTTTGCTTGGGGTTGCCAAAACCGCTACAAGCGATGAGATCCGGCGAGCCTACAGCCGCTCGATCTCTTGACGCACCGTTGCTATCCGTTAGTCGTAAGACAAAAAGCCGTGGGTTTCGAGTGAGTTCTGCTGGTTTCATAGTCAGCAAATCAGCAAATGCTCAGAACCCGCGCACGTCTCCTCGCCGCCTCGCCTCATGAGGGCTGCTATAGGGAATTGCAGTTTCACTAAGAACAGCAAGCGCTTCGGCACCACCCGGACAAGAACCCGGACAACGTGGAAGAAGCTACTGCCAAGTTCAAGCTCGCCGCCTGGCCGATTTCAGGGCATTCCGGGATTCCGGGCATCGAGACCAGTACGAAACAAGAGTACGAGGAGTGGACAAGGGCAGTAATTTTTCCTTGTTTGGAGAAGGTCTATCGCATCCAGGGCCCAGGGGTGCGCATTTCCGTACAGTTGAATGTCATGTCCTCCCGCTTGGGCCTTCTATTTGTCAATGCTGCACTTTGGCTGGCTTTAGTTGGCAGGCTTGTGGTGCATTTCATGCTGCAAGTTTATGCTTTTTCGGGATGCCCCTCCACACAGGAGCCATGTTTCCGGTGATGGAGGCGACTTTTGTTGTTTGTTGCATGTTTGGCGCCCCTGCAAAGGTTTCGGAAGCCTACTCCGTGCTGTGCCACGGCTGAAGAATGTGCACAAGGGCGAGAGGGCTTGCAGGGTTGAGGCATAACTCTTTGGACGTTTATTGAGTTGCGGCATCGCAAGCAAGACAAACAACGGCCGGGGCCTTACACGGCAAGTTTACACGTCAAGCCACTGTCACTAGCAGTCTAAGTCCAGGACGGATTGCTGAAAAATATTCCTGCAGCTCAGGAACGACCCCGTAAAGCGGGCGGCGTATGATGGAGGCAGCCTCTCAGGTCGGGACTGCTTTTTTCTGGGTACAGGAGAAGCCCGAACTCGACTCAAGCGGAGTTGGAAGTGTCAAGCTTCGTGCATAGCTGGGCCGACTTGCGAGTCTCGTAAACTTGTGCTGCTCTTGGTCGGGCACAATCTGCCCTAAGTCCACCCCCCCATCTCGTGGGTTGCTTCAGGCGATAGCGGTGCTGAGCCGGACTTTACAATGTCCATGGCCCAGAACCTCTTCAAAGATGTCTTCGGTGGCTGGCCGGCATCCAGCACTTGCCTTGTGCGCATTTCTTGGTAGAGCGAACCTAAGCCTGAGCATCGTGAGATCTGGCCTCTGGGGCTCTTTAGATGCTTGGAGTGTCTGGATTTCACGACCCGGAGGTGAGGACTTCGCAAATCGGCTTGCCGCTGCTGCCGGCGATGCGAGCATCCCGCCTGGCTCTGGCTGTTGGCGGGGCTCTAGGCTTGCATTCCGTGCAGTCTTTTCGTCATGGCCTTTTTGGAACTGGCCCCAGACCTGCTCTTGAGATAGGACTGCCTCAGGTGGGATTTCTGGTCTTGTTGGTAGCGGGGGAAAATATTTAATGGCTGCCGCCAATGCCGCCGACCCCGAATGGACACCCGGCCCGGCCCAGCCCAGCCCAGCCCAGCCCATAGGGTTGGGGAGGAGTTGGGCATGCGTTATCGGACAAGTGAGCGCACCGCGGTGGGACCGAGTGGGGCTGGGTGGGGCTGGGTGGGATTGGGGAGGGGTTGGGCATGCATTGGGGTTCAATTAAATAAATTGAAATGATTAGAAACCAGTGACCAGCCCTGCCCAGCCAGCCCAGCCCAGCCCGGCCCGGGCCGGGCCGGCCCGGCCCGGCCCGGCCGGCCC